CCCTCACCTAAACCCCCGCTTTTACCGGGGAGTTGCGGCTCGCCGCGTCACTGCTCCGCGCTCCCTCCGCCGGGATTCGGCGCCTCTTCCAAACGCGAACGCGTTAATTTTCCCCCCCCCGCCCCAGATTAAAGGATTTATCTCCAGTATTACTGCCGAAGCTTACGTGGCCCTGGGAAAACGCAGCCTCCCCAGAAACAAAAAGGATTCCTCCTGCTCCCCTTATTTTCTTCTGGAAAATGGCCCATCTCAGCCATCGCTTCTCAGATTTCAGAAGAGCAAGGAGTTGGGTATTGCAAATATTACAGGGTTTTGTCTTAAAAAACATGCCAGCGGGCTGCTGCTTGTAACGTAACTCACCCTGCTGCCAAAGCAGCTCCTCAAAGTGGAAACCGAAAGGGGACAAATGTTTTAAACACACTTAAGAAGTGCTGAATGCCCCAAGGCGACTTGTTCAACAGCAACCATAACCCCACTAAAGAAAAAAATAAACAGAATACTCTTTTATCAGAGTATTTTTTTTATTAATATATACAGAACTCGGCTCACTATTTAAATTTTTTTATTGTTCAAATTTTTTTCCCAACAGGAGGATGGTAATGCTACAGCAGTGCCTATTTAATAAAAGATCATACCCCTCGTGTGTGCAGCTCGGGAACGGGAGCAACGAGAACATAATGCTGTTAACGCAATCAACGCGCAAACAAACAAAAATAAATAAAACGAAATGCACAGCCATCACATGGACAGACCCTGGCATCACATTGCCAAGCGGGTCAGCAGCGTGGGAAGGAGAGAGAACACCCACTTTCTGTGCACAGAGAGTCCGTAACAGACTCAAAAAGGATTTGACCGGTCCCAAGAGCTCCTCCTTTACGGCTGAAACGCTGCATGCGGGAGATCGACTTCTGCACGACGCGCCTGACGCTCGTTTGTTCCTTTAGCAGGTCAGACATGAGACAAAAATGGACATTTTATACACAGGACGACATCGGCAGAGTAACACGCACAGGTTACCACAGCCCTCTTTGCTGGTGTAAGTTCCCTGAACGCCTCGGGGAGGCAACTACCTTGATCATCTCCAACTGCAAATATTCAGGCTTCACGATGTTTACAGCTGCACAGAAATATTACCAACAAAACACATCCCAGAGCTGCCCTTCCGTGCCTCTTCACGCCGCTGCACTGTTCCGCAGATCTAAGCCGCCTAATCGCACACACAAGAGTTTTTTAATTGAATAAAAAGAGAGTTTAGAAGATTTTTGGTCAGGAGATTTTGGTACCGTATGTGGTACAATGAAACCTGGTTAACTTGTTCATGAGCCATCTCCTTATGGAGTGTCTGGTGGCAGGTTTCTCTAAAATAAAAGATTCAGACAATTGGGAGGAATGCAGACAACATGGCTTAAGTACTGGAAATTGTGTGATCTTACAGAACAAGAGCTACAACTCTAGACATCAAATACCAACAAACAGCGCATGGGAACTTAAAACGCCAGTGAAATCAGTCAGCACCCTGCAAAAAAGTCATGCACCGACTGCCCTGTGTGGAAGGAAAAAACACATTCATTCTTAGGCAGGTTAAACACATACCAAGTGTTAACATACACGGGAAAAGCAGTTTTACTCCGTGTATGCTACTTATAAAATAAATTAAAAAGTGGAAACAGAGAAGTTTTGTATGTGCTTCAAATTAACACAGAGCAGCAGTTCCATAAATGAACACTTCGCCACCTTTGTGGTGGTACGAGAGCAGCAACACAACATTACAAATAGAAACAGCTCAAAAGAGATTAAAAAAAAAAAGGGAATTTAAACATTATTTTTCCCTTGCCCCACAATGCCGTTTAGTTTTGCGTGTCATAGCATCAGGAAATTTACAGTGCGTTTGCATGTCACATTCGCACAAAGGTTGAAAACAAGGCAGGTCAAAGTGGTAACGCCGTGAAAATTTAGGGTTTTCCTCAGGTAACTCTAGCTGCTCCTCGGCCTCCTCTTTAAAATAAACGCCATGACCATCGGGCACACACAGCGAGGCACGAGCAGGAGCAGAGCCAACAGCTGCTTCTTCCCTGCATCGTGAAATACAGGAATAAGCTACGTATCTGCCAGTGCTGCGTGACGTCTTACCTTACCCGCAGCTTTTATGCCTCATAATTTAATCACCATATTCGAAAGGTAAAGTCTTTCAAAGCTTAGTTTTACTGCTCAACTTTAAAACGTTGTTTAATCTTCCCTGCAAGCGTATTTAAACGTTCTCGTTCCAGCTTCAATGTTTTACACGAACACAAAACAGAGCAAGAACGACAACTCGAAACCAAGAGAGCACCTAAAAATATACTGTGGGTAAGAGCGGAACCAACCGTCCCTGCGCTCCGCAAAGCCTAGAAATCCACGGGCAGAACGCTGGGCGGGAGCAGGGAGGGGAGGAGCAGGCCGGGTCCTTCCGAGGGCCGCCGCGCTCCTCCTCGCAGCGCCCGTCCTCCCCTCGCGCCGCCGGCCATCATCCTTTCACCACTGCTGCCAGCTGAAGTCGTCGTTGCTGCCGAAGACCAGGAAAAACCCGAGGATCGTGGCGAAGATGACCGTGTTCCCCGTGAGGACGAGCGCGCACGCGCCCCAGTAAATCTGCAAAAAAGGGAGACCGGGTTACACAGGCGGCGAACTCAGCGCGGGCGAGACGAGAGGCAACCAGCCCGCAAGGCAACGTTTCAGCACTTCTTTTTGGCCATGTTTCTGCTGCTGGGCTTAGCTCTCCTTGCTGAAAGATTCCCCTTGGCCGGCTCCCACCGCACGCATCGTTAGTACCAGTCACACGAGTCAGCGCGTCCGAGTGTCACCCTCAGTAAAAGCAGTAAGTTACAGGGCAGAAAGGGCTTGCAGGGGCCGCGGTGTTACTAACCAGCTCAGCTCTGGCAAACACTATAGGCAGCCCGAACGCGGAGACAACGATGCCCGTGGTGAGGAATATGGCCAGCTCCTTGCAGGCATTGCTCGCCGCGTCCGTGTCGTCCACTAACCTCCGTGCTATGCAGTACGGGATGGGAGAAAGGATGTAGAAAAACAGGACAAACAGCGGCCAGTACTGGCTGGAAAAGAGAGGGGAGAGTTGGAGTCAGCGCGGGTGGCTTCCTGCCCTCCAACACCAATGCCAGGCGTTTTCCCCACCCGGAACACACATTCGGGAAGCGGCGGGACACAAGCCCAGGCAAATCCTTAGCAAATCCTCAGTTTTCAGGATGACTGTGCAATGCTCCCCCTCCAAGTCATCGCTCAGGTACCCAGGTTTGTGAACCTGACTTTGGCTGCCTTCACGTCCACGGTGAGTTAACTCCCGGGTGACCTTTTGGCCATCCCACCCCCCCAGGAAAGGGGCTGTGAACCCCGGGGGGCCGCGGGGCGCGCGCGTTACTTGTACTGCGGCAGGGCACATCCGAGCATCAGGAACATGAGCCCCACGGCTCCCCCGAAGGACAGGCTGATCAGGGCTGCCGCAGAGCAAACGCAGCGCAGGAAAGAGAAAAAAGGAGAACACAAACAGTTCAGTAACGCGCACAAAACACCGCGGCTTTTGGCCGCCAAACAAATGACAGAGCTTTGCCACGTGCCGAGGACCCAAGGCTCCAAGTAACCCCGGTTTTAGCAGGCAGCGAGGCGGTTAACACCCGGAAAACTTCACTCCGTCAGAAAAAAAAAGGGGGAAACGGCCCCAAAAGCGGCGCGGAAGGGGGGGCGCCCACGGAAAAT